CTTGAAACAATCATCATAAAACTTTCATTTTGGAGTGCAAATCTAAAATTTCAAAACTTCTAGTTTTTGAAAAAATTTCCTTTTTGAATTTTATATGGTTTTAAAGCTAATAAAAATTGCTACATTTTGATACAAATTACATTTCTCTAGCTTAATTTTGAAAAAGTTATGCGCCTTTAAACTTCATATAGGTGGTCGATGCACCATATTGACTAGTCAGATCACTAAAACTACCGTATCTTCGTCGATATTTAGGCCTAATATTTACAATTCAAAAAGTTTTGAATTTGCGAATTTAAAAGCTACAAAATGATATTAATTTTCAAACTTCCAGCAAAATTTTAAAAACAGTTATGCGCCTTTAAACATCCGACATGGTGCATCGCACCGCCTCCAGGAAGTTTAAAGGCACATAACTTTTTTCAAAATTTGGCTTGAAAAATGAAATTTCTACCGAATTGTAGGAAATTTTATGCGCTTTAAAAACATACAAAATTGTCAGAAATTAACTATTTTCGAATTTGAAAAAAAATGAAAATTCCCAAAAAGAAATTTTTTTTGGATTAAACTTTTTAATATTTTAATTTGGGCAAAAATTAGAATTTTTTATACAACTTTTATATTGTTCGAAAGCTCTTTAAATTTTTTACAGTTTGGTGTAAATTTGATTCTTCTAGTTCGATTTTGAATGAAGTTATGCGCCTTTAAACTTCATAGTAGTGGTCGATGCACCATGTTCACTAGTATCCCTCACTAAAACTACCGTATCTCGGTCAGTTTTCGAGCAATTTGAAAAATCCAAATTGTTTTGTATTTGGCAAGTTAAGAGCTTCAGAATCAATACAAAATTATACAACTTTTCGTTTTCGATGACTACGAAAAACTATTTTTTTTCTAATTTTTTGAGGCAAAATGTGTCTATCGCTCTAAAATTGCTCATTTTGGGTGAAAATATCAACGTTTTGTTTCAAAAATATTTTTTGTATTTCAAAATAAAAATTTTCAATATGACTCATACAAAAATTTGCCTAACTCCACCGCCAAAAAAAATCATTGATCAAAACAAAACATTTTTTGTTGATCACCAAAAAACACAGATAAAATCACTGATTAAGGAAAAAGAGGAACTACTAAAGTGATTCGAAAAAAAAACAGAGAACGGTAGAACACAGAAAATGAGAGAGATTGAGAGATTTAGAGAAAAAAAGAAAGATAAAAAAGAGGAGGAGGAGGAAGGAAGATGAAAAAAAAGCAGTGTAAAAATTTTTATGTCTTTTACAATGACGATGATTGGAAGGACAAATCAATCATTTTAACATTTCTAACAGACACAAAAAACCCCCAAAAAATACTTGAAAATCTGGTCTAAATTGGCCTAAATTTGTTTGACTTCCTCACATTTTTAACATTTTTTGAAAATTCAAACTTCTCAAACTTTATAATTTTTCGTTCAAATCTAAAATTTTTCGTTCAAATCTAAAAAATTTTGGGTGTCGGAAAAACTAGCATTTCGAAAATTTTTCAAAAGTATGTCATGATTATACTCATTTTGAAGTCCTTAAATTGACAAATTCAAAACTTTTTGAATTTTCAGAATTGCTCAAATATTGACTAAGATACGGTAGTTTCAGTGATCTGACATGGTTCATCGACTCACTCCAGATAAATTTAAAGGCGCATAACGGGCCCAGAAATTTGGAATCAGGCTTTGAAACTAAAGGTTTTAAATTAAACAACAAAAATGCTTCAAAATGAGACCAAACACGACCTGTTTTGAAAAGTTTTGATTTCTTCAAAAAAAAATCAGAAATTTCAAAATTCACTAAAACCTTCATAACTTTTCTGAAACTCAAAATTTTAAATTTTTATGTACAGAATCTTATTCAGCAGGTTTAGAGCTTCAAAATGAGTATAAACACGGCTAGGCGAAAATCTGGTCTAAATTGGCCTAAATTTGTCTGACTTCCTCACATTTTAAACATTTTCTGAAAATTCAAACCTTGCCCAACTTGTTTATTTTTCATCCAAACCAAAAAAATTTGACGGATCTGCATTTTTCAGGTCCCGAGCTTTAAAATGAGCCGAAACACGATTAGGCTCCGCCCACTTTGAGTTTTGACTTTAAAGGCGCATAGGGCGTCGGAAAAACTAGAATTTCGAAAATTTATCAAAAGTAGATCATGGTTATACTCATTTTAAAGCCCTTAAATTGACAAATTCAAAACTTTTTAAAATTTCAAAATTTCTCAAAAATTGACTGAGATACGGTAGTTTTAGTGATCTGACATGGTGCATCGACTCACTCCAGAGAAATTTAAAGGCGCTTAATGAGCCTATAAATCTGGAATCAGGCGGTGAAACTAAAAGTTTTGAATTTAGCAAGCTTCAAAATGAGCCCAAACACGATCTGTTTTGAGCAATTTCTTTTTTTAAAAATTCAAAAAAGCGCAAAAATGCAACTTTTCACTGAAACCTTTTAAACTTCTCTTGAACTTAAAATTTTGAGAATTCAAGTGCAGAATCTGTTTCAGCACGTTTGGAGCTTGAAAATAAGTATAAACACGACTAGGCTCCGCCCACTTTGATTTTTGCCTTTAAAGGCGCATAGGGGTCCGAAAAAATAAAATTTCTCAAAAGTAGGTCATGATTATACTTATTTTAAAGCTAGTAACGTGGCAAATTCAAAAATGTAAATTTCTAAAAAATCGGATGAAAATTCAAAAAGTTATGGGGATTTTACACTTTTTTTTTGAAAAAAATATTCCTAAAAACTAAAAAACGCTCTAACTCGGCTCATTTTGATCCGATTTTTTTGGTTTATAACTTAAACTGTGTGAAATTTAATTTTAAATAGTTATTGACTTAAAAATCTGAGATAAAAACTTTCTTAAATATGAAATGGGTCCAAAAAAGTTTTCAAAAAAAAAAGAAAACCAATAAATTTCACAATTTTCGAAAAAAGAAGAAAACAGAGGGATGAGGATATACTGGCTGGCATCTGTGTGAAAAGAAGACAGATATATCTATAAAGTGTGAAATCAGTTAGAGATAGAGAGACGCAGAGAAAAAGAGAGAGAGGGGGAGAAAACAAAAAATCAGAGAAATAGTGTGAGAAAGTGAGAGAGTGCAGAGAGAGAGAGAGAGAGAAAGCTGATGATGATGATGGATGGTCAATGGAAAAGCTTCAAATTTTTCTATTTTAGTTTTGTTTAAAAAATTTTTTTATTTTTCAAAAAAATCCAAAAAGTCTTTATCCAAAGAAGAGATCATATCTTTTTGATATGTTCAAAAGTGATAAGCTGTGAGAGAAAGATAAAAGAGAGACGCAGAGATAAGTAGATGATCACAGAAATCGGCCGAGGGGTTGTCCGGTCTAAAGTGAACAAAGGGGTCAGTTTCGATGAATGGCGAGAGAGGATGAGAGACGCAGAGAACAATAGGGTCCATAACTTTTTTAAGTATCGACCGATTTTTATAAAAATTACATTTTTGTACTTGCCACGTCATTAGCTTCAAAATGAGTATAATCATGACCTACTTTCTCCAAATTTTGGTTTTCCGGACCCCTATGCGCCTTTAAAGTCGAAAAATCAAAATGGGCGCTCCGCCTAGGCTTGTTTATACTCATTTTGAAGCACATGACATGCGAAATCAATTAATATAAATCATGTTCCATTTATATTGAAAATCAAAACGTTACGGTAGCTTTATCAGCATATTTTGGTGAAATTTATGATTTGACACCATTATGCGCCTTTAAAGTCGAAAAATCAGATTTTTCGAAAATTTAGTCAGATAAGTATTGTAAAAATTGGAATTACACCGAATTTGAGTTTAAAACCAACAAAATCGGTCTAAAACTAATCAAGTTAAAACATTTTGAAATTTTTGAAACATTTTTTACAGAAAAAAGGATAAAATCCCCATAATTTTCGTGATTTTCATCCAATCTTAATGAAATTTGTAATTTCATATTTGCCACGTTATTAGCTTTAAAATGAGTATAAACATGACCTACTTTTTTTCAAATTTTGGTTTTCCGGACCCCTATGCGCCTTTAAAGTCGAAAAATCAAAGTGGGCGGAGCCTAGGCGTGTTTATACTCATTTTGAAGCTCTAAACTTGACAAATACAAATTCGTTTAATGTTTTTGATTTGAATCATAATTCAAAAAGTTATGGTAGATTTTTAGAAAATTTCAGGCAAAAATAAATAGCTTTAAAACTCAAAAATCAAAAAATACAAATATTTTTTCAACAACATCCTAATAAGCGGGCGTTCTATACATATTTCCGATTAAATTAATGTTCGCTCAAAATATTCGGAAAACACAAGGAAATTGCAATTTCGCTCTATTGACTAAAATGTCAAAAAATTGTAAAAACCCTCATAACTCTTCTAGTTTTTGATTGTTCTCTATGATTTTTGGCTTAAATTGAAGCTGAAAACCTGGCAAACAAGATTAAAATGTTCAATTTGCAAAATTTCAAAAATAAAATGTTGGAAGTGCGCTCCAATAATAACAATTACTGACTATACTTCAAATCTTTTTAACCTAGCTCGTTTTTGACAGTTTTCAATAATCTTTAGCTTAAATTAAAGCTTAGCACCTACCAAACAAAATTGTAGTTTTCGAATTTTTGAAAAATCAAGTGGTGAGTCACAAACGCGCTTCAATGACAACTTCTCCCAAACCTAGCGTAAACCACCGAAAACAGACGCTAAACGGTCTCAAAAAGAGGAATATTCCTGGAAAAAAAAATCGAAAACACTCAAATTATGTCACTAAAGAACAAAAATAGAAAAATGCATAGAAACTACACAAAAACCAGGGGATAGTAGTAGTACATATGATTGTTTGAGAAAAAGAGAGAGAGAGAGAACTAGGCGGATTAAAAAGTGAATCATTCAAAAATGGGAAACAGGAAAATTCTGAATAAATAATAGAGAAGGAGAATCATAAAACTTCTAGGAAATTCTAGAGAATCTAAATTATCCAATTATTCTATTCTTGGCCACACGCGCCATCTCCCTTTTCCTCTCTCATGCACCCACCACCACCACTCTTCTATAAGCCCTCCACCTCCTGCTCTGACGTGTTGGGCTGTGGCGCAGTCGGCAAGCGCGTTGCTTTTGGATCTGTGACTCCCTGGTTGGACTCCAAGTCGCTCGATTTGGTTTTTATTTCTTTTTTTAAACTTTTTATAGATGTAGAAAACACTTACAGTAACCGTATCAGCCATTAGTAGTACTGTATTGCTGTTTTCCACACCTTCTGGATAGTTTTCTTCGTCCTCTTCGCTGATTCGTTTTCGAATCAATCGATAGTTATCTTTTTGACCTTTTTCTAGAGTGTCCTCGTCAGAATTCGATCCAGACGTTGAGCCAGATGAGGTGGCAAGAATTGGAGAGTAACGGGACCCGGAAGTGGTCGGATGTGTTAATGGGTAGTCTGGAATTTGAACAATTGTAAAAATTAAAACTCTCAAAACTTCTGCAGTTTCAGTGCAAACTTTTTGAATTTTTATTGTTTGAAGTTCCCACGTTTTTGGCTTTCCAATGAGTATAAACACGACTAGGCTCCGGTCACTTTGATTTTTGAATTTAAAGGCGCATAGGGGTCCGAAATTTTGAAAATCGGAGAAAGTAGGTCATGATTATACTCATTTAGAAGCTGAAAACTAGATGACTTCAAAATTTGAAATTTGGCCTTGTAAAAATGAAAAATAACAAAGTTAGGAGTCAACATATTAGAAATGATGAAAAAAAAAAATAGTTTTTCAGCTGTAACTTGTTAATTTTCCACAATTTAGTGAGACTTATAATATCGAACTATGCGCGTTTAGAGCTTCAAAATGAGTATATTGATGCCCAGGCTCCGCACACTTTGGTTTTTGACTTTAAAGGCGCATAGGGGTCCGAAAAAAAGAAATTTGGGGAAAATAGGTCATGATTATACTCATTTTGAAGCGGACAACTAGCTGAATCTCATAAAACTATAAAAAATCAAAAATTCTTAAAAGTTCAAGGGTAAACATTGAATTTTCAGAAATTTCAAAAAAATTTTTTTTTCAAAATCAAAAATTTTTTCCTGAAAAAAAAATCGAAAGTTCGAGTGTAATCAGTAAGTAAATGAAAAAATTGAAATCTGTGCTACTGACTAGTTGGTAATCAAGCTCCTGTGCGAGAGGGCGGAGTGGCTGAGCAAACAAAAAAAAATTTTTTTCGTTTGAAAATTTATTTGAGCAATCATTTTTTTTTTTGCACAAATCATAACTATGACTAACTAGTTTTTTTGCTAGCTTTCGATTATTATCAATAGAGCGCGTTTTATACATCTTTTTGGATTTTTCAGTTTAAACTTTTTTTTAATTTTTGGAAGGTTCTAAAACTGCCAAATTTGTGGCTGCATTTTCCGGATCTTTTACCTTTTTTTTCTAAATTTTCAGTCTAAAAAAAGACTGAAAATCCACGAAACCGATATAAATCGATTCACAAGTATGACGTGTATCACTAAAATATGCACGTTTCCAAGTTAGGAGAGACCTCGCACTCTGGGAACACGGAGAAATGATAACTTACAGACTATTCTGTACTTGTCCCCGTGTAAAACTAAAAAGCAAAAAGACTTTTTCGGGTCCGAGGAATCGAACCTGTGGCCTTCGGCGCCAAAAGCATTGATGCAACCGGGTACACCACGGGCACGATTGTTGGAGGAGGGAGCGGAAGGCGTATAAGAAAGGGGAGCGCGCGGAGAGGGGGGAGGGGGAGAGGGGGGAGGAGGAGACTTACCGAGCATTTTTAGAGAACTAGTTGAAGATAATAAAAATCTGAAAATCCCTTTTTCTAGGCTAGAAAAAAGGAAAAAGGTTGTTTTTCGTTGATTTGAGGACCAGTAGAGCCTGAAAAAGAATCCTGATTTTTAATTTTTTTTTCGAAAAAAAATTTTTTTTTTTAATTTAATTTATACAAAAAACCGGACCAATGACGTTGGTACTGACCGGAAAAATACAAAAAAAAAGAAACAAAGAAAGAGAGAAAAGAGACGCAGAGAAAATAAGCAAAAAAAAGAACTACAAAAAACCAAATTTTTGAAAAAAACCAAAACTTTATTTTTTGGAAAATTCTGGAGATCTGTAATTCCAGATTTTTGGGACAAATGGGACAAAAAACTAGAATTTCAGGCTAAAAAAAGAAAATTCTAGAAAAAGAGAAGAAAAAGAGCATGGGAAAGGGAAAAAAGCACCGGAAAAGGTGTGGGAAGAACAAAAAAATTTGGGGAAAAATGAAAAACAAGAAGGGAAAATTCCTATATAAATATAAATTTCCGGTACAAGATATATTTTTTGGGCTGTTAAAAACTAAAAAAAAAACTTTTTTTTCGCCAAAAATATATATTTCCAGCTCACTGATTTTTCTTTAAATTTTCGGAAAATAATTTTTCTTTAAATTTTCGGAAATTCCACCTCGAATTCGTTCAAAAAGTGACTAGGATCCCTTTGCATTTGGCTAAAATCATTAAAAAAGAACAAAAGACAAAAACGCCAAGCGGGGTTCGAACCCCGGACCTTCAAAATGGCTCGCAGCCTTACTAGCCAGTAGGCCAAGCGGGCAAGTTGGAAAACCTGTGGTGGAGGGCAGATATAAAGGGGGAGGGTGGTGGCGCGGGAGCGGTCGCCAAAGGGGTGGTGGTGGGAAATTAGAAAAAAAATTAAAATATTCAAATTAGTGGCCTAGGAATCCCAAACTCGGCCATATTGGTTTATTTATGGTTTTTAGCTATTTCTAACGTGTTTTCAATGGATTTTTTGAGTTGTACGGTCAAAAAAGGGATTTTAAACCTAAAAAACACAAGAAAAATTGGAAAAAGTCGATTCTAATAGGTGAAAACGGGGTAAAAACGAAGAGACGCAGAGTATTCAGACAGTTACCTAAAACTACATGGCGCGTGCGTGCGCGGCGAGCGAAGAATAAAAGGATACAGAGAAAAGAGAAAGAGAGAAAAATAGAGAAAGAATTTTTTTTTTGGCGGAAAGGTTGATGAGAATGAAAGAAAATAAAACAGTAAGTAACAAAAGAAAAGGCGAGAGAGTGTGGGAAGGCAAGAGACGCAGACAACAACAAAGAAACTTGTTACGTTATCTGACCATTTTTTGACCACTAGAAGGTTTTTTAATGGCTTACTGTAGTTTTTTGGGTGGCCTAGAAAAAGCTAAGCCACCAATACTGCTATTTGAATATGTATAAGATAAGAAAGAAGAAATCTAAACAATAAAATAGGGAAAAGTGGGCGGAGCTTCGGGAGACTTTTTGTTCTGTATGAGTCATTGGGGTATAAGATGGTCAGATCGTTGGGGGATGATGAGTCATATCTGATAATGTCCGAAATTTTCCAAATTTTGAAAAAAAGCAAAGCAGAACACAGAAAATTTTCCAAAAACTAAAAATTGATCAAAAAAAAATTTTTCCGAAAAAAATTTTTTTTGAGGATAATTCAATTTTTGGTTATTTAGGGATAAATACTACAATTTCATAGTTAACTTTTTACAAATTTCTGAAAGTTTTTAACATTGGCTACAAACTACTAAAAAGAATTTACTAATCGAGTGAATTTGAAAAAAGTTATGCGCCTTTAAACTTTTGAAAACTAAAAATTCCAGTATGGCGAGGGGAAATCAAAATTTTCGCCGAATTTCTACAGTTCCGGTAAATGAAATTTATACCATCTTAGAGCCCAATGAATTTCCTACATTTTGATATAAATTTCATTTTTCTAGCTATTTTCCAAAAATAGTTATGTGCTTTTAAATTTTGGGCGATGCACCATTTTACAAACAGAACTGGAAAAAAAATGGTTTTTTGGCAAATTTAACGAAAATTTCAAATAGTTGAGTTTAGATATTCTTGTAGATTTTCAGATTTCACACATTTTAACATAAATTTGTAGAAAAATTTTCTAGTTTTAACAAGTTAAGCCATCTATAAACTTTGCCGATTCCGCATGACAAAACTGAAAAATCTCGAAAAAATTCAGTTTATTTTGATTACGTCATCAAAAAGCTAGGAAATTTTCTCACAAAATGAACAAACTTCCCAAAATACTGATTCCCAGAAAAATTAAGTTATGCTCCTTTAAAAGTTGTTTGATGCGCAATAGCACACAAATTTTTGGTGTGTAACGGGAAACCCAAATTTTCAGCTTGAAAACAAAAATTTTGATTGCAGTGTGTTATATCACTAGAAAGCTCATAAAATTTCCTACAAAATCGTTTTTATTTCATAGTTCTAGGTTGATTCTCAAAGAAGGTAAGTGCCTTTAAAAACCCGTCGATGCACCATGTTTTGGAAAATTTAGGTAAGGCTTTGAAAATTCAATTTTTCGTATTGAAAATCACAATTTCACATTAAGTGTGTTATATCGTTAAAAAGCCCATATTATTTCCTACATTTTCATATAAAATTCATAAGCACAAGTCTATTACGAAAAAAGTTATGCGCCTTTAAATACCCGTCGATGAACTATTTCGCCAAAAATTTTGGTTAGACCTAGAAAACTCAAAATTTCAGCTTGAAAATCAAAATTTTTATATTTGAATGTTATATTATTGAAAAGCTCTTAAAATTCCCTACAAAATGTTATTTATTTGATTATCATATCTCAATTTTGAAAAAAGCTATGCGCCTTTAAATACGGGAAAATTGTAGCGAGTCGTCAGACAGGGAAGGGGTGTCCAGATTCAAATTTTTTGTAGTTTCAGATTCTAAGCATTTCTTATAATGAGAATTTAAGTTATTATCCGGAAAATTTTTTTTTAAAATCTTAAGAACTAATTCTTTTTCATGTCTTACGGTATGACTCACAAAAGACTTAAAAATTGAATTCGTCATTTATAGTAAAAAAAAAGAAGATAGCAACAAAAATGACATTTTCAGAGTCGTGACTCAAAAATAAAATTTTGAGTCAAAAATTTTTGCCTCGGAAATATGGAACATAAAATTTTGAAGAAAGAGGTAACAAAAAGTTTCTTAATATTGACTTTTCTTTTACCTCCCCGCTTACATGCATAGAAATTTTAGTGTTTGCACATCAATTGAACAGTCGCGTAAACATGAGCACAAATAAACTAAAAGCGGTTTTTAGGGTCTTAAAAATGGCTAGAAAACACGAATAGTGTGACTTTTGGGGTTAAGTAACGCTTCTAGACACCTCTAAACCCCCTTAACAACCTTTAAAAAAATTAAAAACGACTTTAAGCTCCACTGGGAATCGAACCTGCGACCTCTAGATCCAACGCCTAGCTCACTACCACTGTACCACAGCGCGCACACCTCGCCGCGCCACGAGTTTTCCCTTATAAGCGCGGTGGGCGGTGGGCGCCGCTCCCTTCGCATATCTACGCCCACCTCCCCCGTCTCTTCCTATCAGCAGCGTGGCGCAGTGGAAGCGTGCTGGGCCCATAACCCAGAGGTCGGTGGATCGAAACCACTCGCTGCTAGAACCTTTTTTGCGGTTTTTTGGGTTACGGTAAAGGGTAGGAGAGGTTATTTTTGAAGGTTTGAAAGGTGTTTTTGTTTTGAAAAGGTTTTTCATACAAGGTTTTTTGAGAGAAACAAGTTTAAAATGATCAGATGATCGAAAAACTGGAAAAAAAGAAAAAAAGAAAAAAGAGATCGATGAATCATAGAAAATGGAACCTTCCCGAATCACTACATAACATGTGAAGAAGAATACACTAGCAATAAAAGGCAATTAACTAATAATAAAAATTCCTATAGGAGTTCATAAGAATTAAATCAACATTTCCAAACGAACTATCCCATATATCTCGATCCAGATCAACATTAGAGCCTTAAAAATATGTCCAATAGATTTTAAATCAAATTTTACATCGAGAAAAAGAAAGCAAAAAGGTTTAAAAAATATATTCTGATGCGGGGAATCGAACCCCGGCCTTATGGGTGAGAGCCAAAAATTCTAACCACTAGACCACAACGGAGACATTCAAAGAGGCGGCAGAGGGCGTATAGGAGAGTGTCGGCGGCGGCCTCTTTTTTCTCTCACACCCCTCGCCTCTCTCCTCACACCCTCCTCGTCTCTCATACTCTCTCGTTTGGAAGGGAGGTCATTTGACTCATTTCTATGCAAATTACCGTCTTTTACCATCTTTTTTGGCGTATTTTCGATCGGAAAACGTCCTTGAAACGTTCTTTTCCTTCTTTTCAACACTTTCTCACTGTATATTCCTTCGATTTCCCCTCCGTTTTACCCTCAAAATGACATCATTTTTCCTTCAAATTCTTCGATTTTCCACTGTTTTTCTAGTATTTTCGGTTGTTTCAAGGGCTGAGTAAGTTTGATTTATGTGGAAAACTTTAAAGGTTCAATTTCCAGAAACGTTTTCTGCACCTACTATCGAGAAGAGAACGAAATCACCTGTGGGTTAGTGAAAACTACCGTAACCCGATCAATTTTCATGGAAACTTAAAAAAACAAAAACCATCTAATTTGAAATTTAATGAGCTTTAAAATGAGTATAATCATGACCTACTTTCGAAAAATCTTATTTTTTGGCCCCCTATGCCCCTTTGAAGTCAAAAATAAATTTGGAAGGAGCATAGGCCTGATTGTACTCATTTTGAAGCCCTCAATGTGCAAAACTCAAAAAATGAGGTTGCAAGTTCAAATTATGAAAATTAATCGAGTTATGACTGAATTGCATTTTCCACGAAAAACTGTATTTTGGTCGTAACTTTGTTCATTTTGAAGATAATTCAAAACTTTAAATTTCATTTGATTCAAAATTAGATCAGCTTCAAAATGAGTATAATCATGACCTACGTTCAAAAAACTTCAAATTTCGACCCCCCCTATGCGCCTTTAAAGTCAAAATTCAATTTTAAAGGAACATAGGCATGAGTATACTCGTTTTGAAGCCCCCTGCGCGGAAAATTCAAAAATTTAAGTTCCAAATCTTAAAATTCAATTTTCAGCACAGTAACCTGTCCAACACACATACCACCAAATGCAGATCTCGAGAAAGATGGTCTCGACGTGAAACTACCACCTGGATGGTACCGTATCGGTACAATGACAATTCGACATGATAAAGGATGGCTGAATCTGTACAGAAGACGTGCCATTGGACATGGATATTGGGATTTTTATACGAATATTCCGGAGAGAAATTGTGCGGGGTAAGAGTCAAAGGAATTGGAGTTTTTGAAAATTCAAAACAAATGGATCACTAGAATTTGCAATTTTCTGAAAATACATAAAAATTCCACACATTTCGGTGTAAAATTTGCAAAAATCGAGCTGAAACTAAAAAAGTTATAGGATTCTGAAAGTTTGAAAAAATTTAAAAAAATGGAATTTTTTTCAAAAAATCATAACTTGTTTATTTTTCAGCCAATTTTTAGGTTTTTTAGCTTAAAATGTGTGAAGTTTTATGGAAAATTTGAAAACCTAGTTTTTAAACCCAAGAAAATCAAATTTCCCGGGTTACGGTACCTGTTTCGTGGTGAGACCCGAAAATTTCCAAAAAATCTAAAAGCTGGTCGAATATGGTCATGATTATACTCATTTCAAAGCTCAAGACGGGGAAAAATCAAATTTCGAACTTAAAATTTTGGAAAACTGAATTAAAACCCAAAAAATCGATTTTTGCAGAACTTTTGGTCTACACGCCGGCGACAACATTTCCGGATCGGTGGCGGTGAAGAGCAAGGAGTGTTTTGATAAATTGATTTATCAGGTGTGTCTGTTTGTCCGGATGTCTTTAAAAATTCGAAAAGTTAGAGAATTTGCCTCAGGTAACTGGAAAAAATTAAAAAACTTTTTTTTGAAAATTTTCAAACTACCGTATCTCAGTGGATACTGTACCAAACCTCATGAAAGTCACATTTTTGAACATGACTCGATAAGAGCTTCAAAATGAGTATAAACACGACTAAGCTCCGCCCATTTTGATTTTTCACTTTAAAGGCGCATAGAGGTCCGGAAAAATAGAATGTGGAGAAAGTAGGTCATGATTATACTCATTTTGAAGCTCTTTTCACGACAAATTGAATGGTTTTAATTTCAATAAATTTGGTACAGTACCCATTGAGATATGGTCAAATTAGATTTTAAGAAAAATTATCGATTTTTGTTTCAGATCGAAAAAAAGTCAACCATCGAAAAAATCGACGTTTATCAGTGTCGAAAATGCATATTTCACAGTTGTTGGCTGGGAAGTCGATTGCTTCCGAGGGCTAGAGATTATTATACTAATTTGAGGAGTTTATAAAATTTTTTTGGAAAAAATCAATAAAAATTTCATGGAAATTTCTTTTTTTTTCTAGATTTCAGATTTATTTCAGACAGATTTAAGCATTTTCAGACAAAAAACAGAAAAATGTGGAAATTTGAAAAAAAAATTTTCGAAATTTTCAAAAATAGGTCAATTATATTTGTTCTGATACTTTTCCATGATTTGTTGTCTCAAATTTTCCAGGTATACTGTAGTTGGAGAAAGGGGCGGAGCTTCGGCTCTTTGGCGAGATGAGAATGGATCTTCGATTGTAGTATCCTTACTGCTGGAAGAGGAAAAATTAGGCCGTGGCCTAGAAAACCAAAAGTTAGGCCAAGATAAAATGATGGCCTAGGAAGCCCCATGGCCGAGTTTTTTTGGGATTCTAGGCCACCAAATTGAATATTCGTTTTCCTTTAGTTTTCCAAGTTACCGTAACCTTCAAAAAGGTACCGTGACCCACACAAGTTGACTCGATTAGCTTTGAATAGATGGCCTAGGATCCGATAAGGTGGCCTAGGAATTTGAATAACTAGGCCATGAAGTCTCTAGGCCAATATTGCGTTTCTAGTCGCCTAGAAATCCAAATTTTGAAGATCTAGGCCATCAGTTAGATTTCTAGGCCACAGCTTACCTATGCTCCTCTTGTTTGTTTTCGGGCTGGGGCGTCTTTGGCGCGCTTTTCGACGATTCAGAAGTTTCCGTGGAGGTAGAAGACATTGAGGATTCAGAGGAAGATTCTGAAGCTTCCGAAGAAGATGACGTGGATTCAGAAGACGTCACGTCTTCTGAATCTTCTGAAGTCGATGGCGACTTCCGAGTTTCAGGATGACGCCTTCTGGATTCCTGGATTTTCAGAATTTTTCGTTTTGCCTCAATTTCCGCATTCAGCGATTCCAGGATTTTCGATTTTTGCGCCAGAATTTTGTCCAAATCTCGTAATTTTGAAATCCGAGGAATTGTATTGAATTCATTCGACGGCTTCGGATCCTCAACGACGTCTTCTAGAGGATTCTGAATTTTGCCATCTTCTGATTTTTGTAGACGTCGTTCTTTGAGATGACGTGCTATTGAAGACGTCAAAATTGGTTGGAGGGATTCTAGAAGATTCTGAGGAAGGGATTCTGTATTTTGTGTAGTTTGGGTCGATGAATCGGAGCATTCCCGAGGGGGCGGAGTCACGGGATACGGTAGAGTCTGAAAATTGGGTAATTTCTACCTCGAATTCGTTCAAAACGTGGCTAGATATCCCTGAAAGTTGTCTAAAATCAATTTCCACCATACTTGTAACGGGCCGGGACGGCCCGTCATTTCACTAGTTTCGAAATTTTCAAAAAATCACATAAGGGGGCACCCTTATGTGATTTTTTTCGAGTTTTTCGATATTTTTTGATCAGACAGACAAACAATCCGAAATACGAAAAAAAAAATGGAAAAAATTATATTGAGAGCTCAAAATTTGCTCAAAAATACAGAATTTTTGAAACCGGGCCTTCCGGGCGGGGCCCGGGCCTTGAAAATTTCCTCAGGCCCGGCCCGGAATTTTACAAGTATGATTTCCACTGCAAAAACTCCAAAGAAGTAGAACACCCGAGCGGGGTTCGAACCCCGGACTTTCAATACGTCAAGCGCCACTGCTAGCCAGTAGGCCAAGCGGGCAAGTGTATAGAGCAGAGGCGGAAGGCGGATATAAAGGAAGAGGGTGGTGGCGCGGGGAGCGGCCGCCATGTGCGTGAGGGAGGGAAATTAGAAAACAACCAAAATATTCAAATTGGTGGCCTAGAATCCCAAAACTCGGCCAGATGTTTCTAAAATTGGGTTTTAGCAGTTTCTAATGAGTTTTCAATGGATTTTTTTGAATTTTCAATTGAAAAAAGTGATTAAACCCGATTCCAAAAGGAAAAACGGCCTAGACATCCAAATTGATGGCCTAGGGTGTTGTAGCTTGATCGCGGGCTATAGATCGAATCAGAGCGTTGTCCAAAAGATCATGAAACTAGATTTTTTAAAGATTTTTCGCAAAGATTTATACACAAATCAGTGTGTTTTAGGTACATATTTCAATGGAGGGGCCTAGAAACCCAAATTTTGGGATTTCTAGGCCACGGTATTTAAGGTCTAAGGCAAGTAGTCCGGTTTAGAGCGGTCTAGAATCCCAAAATCCCATTGATGGACTAGAAATTCGATTTTCCTCAAAATTTGGGTTATTAAGCCACGGATAGTTTTGAGGGGTTCTAGGCCATTCTAGACCTTGAATTCGGTGGCCTAGAAATTTCAAAGTTTGGGATTCTAGGCCACCAAAAAAAATTGGAAAAAACAAATTTTTTTTTCGAAATTTCCGGTTTTTCAAAGGCGTGGTCCTGATGGAATATCCGAGATTAGAATACATTCTGGGTCTATAAAAATTCCGAAAAATCAGAAAAGGACGAATCACACTACACATAATTGGAAAAAATTTTGGAAATTTTTTTTTTCGAAATTTCCGGTTTTTCAAAGTGCGTGCGATTTTTTGAGATTAAAATACGTTTTGAGTCTATAAAAATTCGAAAAACATCTTTTGAAAATTTTGAAGAAAAAAAAAATTTTTTTTTGAAAATTTTAAATTCCCACCAAAAATGGCCTGGAGGTATTTTTAAACAGTTTTTTTTGCTTAAAACTATTTTTATTTTTTCAGATTAAAACGAAAATGCATCATTATTTCCATTCTAGTCCTATTCGCTTTTCTATTATTCTTGGCTGAAATTTCGTCGGATTTTCGGCCACCATTTAAAAATCCTAGGCCACTTTTCGATTTTAATGAGACCGCATTCTTGCCTGAACTGGTAGGTTTTAAAAATTGCAGATTTTCTAAGCCAAAAATTTCGAAAATCGAGCAAAAATGAAGAAAGTTAGGGGGAATTTTAAAATTTTTTAAAAGATTTTTTGAAACTACCGTATCTCGATGGGTGCTGTACCTAATTCAATAAAACTAACAGATTTGGATTTTTCGTGATGAGAGCTTTCAAATGAGTATAATCATGCCTGGGTTGGAGAAAAGTTGAAAATTTCGAAAATTTGGGTCCCATCACGAAAATTCGAAAATTTGAAAACTTCTCAAATATAGTCGAGTTTAGGCTTATTTTGAAGCTCAAAACATCAGAAATTTGAAAATCATAAAATTTCAAAGTTAGCACTAAAACGAGCTGAGATACGGTAGTTTCAACATTTCCATGATTTTCGGTTCTAAGCTTAAAACTACCGTATCTCTCTTCATTTTCGTCCGAATTTTGAAATTTTTGAATTTTTAGAATTTTCAGAGTTTGAGCTTCAAAGCGAGTATAAACATGACTCAAAGTATACTGTAACTTTTTCCAGAATTTATCAGATTCCTGCTTTCAATGGCTCCTGGAACTGGGAGCCACCCCAATTCCAGCATTATTGATTGATCGACACGTTTTGAAGCAGTTAAAGAGAGGCAAATGTGATAATGTCGATGTGATAAATACAGTCAAGGTATGTTTAAAGCTACAGTAATCCGTTTTTTTTCTAATTTTTTCGTTGTCAAAAACTTAAAACTACCGTATCTCGATGGGTACTGTACTAAACTTTATGAAAGTTATATATTTGAATTTGGCTTATTGTGAGCTTCAAAATGAGTATAAACACGACTAGGATCCGCCCATTATGATTTTTGACTTTAAAGGCGCATAGGGGTCCGAAAAAACCAAATTTAGAGAAAGTAGGTCGTGATTAGACTCATTTCGAAGCTCTCATCACGAGAAACTCAAATTTACAAGTTTGATTAGCTTTGGTACAGCACCCATCGAGATACGGTAGTTTAAAAATTCTCAGATCGGGGTGGACATTGCTCATCGTTGGAGAGCCGAAGTTTGGGACAAAAAATTTGAAATTTTATTTTTTTCGAACGACTCAAATACTGATTATCTGGATTTCAACACTGAAATTCGACGGATTATTCCACAGTTTGTTTTTTTTTAAGATTTTGTAAACATTTCAAAATTTGGGTCCCGCCACGAAATACCGAAAATTTCAAAATTCAACAAATCTAGTCGTGTTTAAGTTTATTTTGAAGCTTAGAATGTGACAATTCTGAAAATCAAAAGAATTTTGAATTTGAAAAAATATGAAGTGAGATACGGTTGTTTTTAATTTGGAACTGAAAATGTTAGAAATTTTGAAAATACCGTAACTCGGCTCAAATTAGTTCAAGTCGAGAAATTTTTAAATTGTCAAACTTCTCATGTTTTCTGCTTCAAAATGAGCCTAAACACGACTAGGTTTGCTCAATTTTAAAATTTTCGAATTTTCGTGGTGGGACCCAAATTTCATGAAAATTCAATTTTCAACAAAGCTAGTCACGTTTAGACTCACTTTGAAGCTGAGAATCTGAGAAAATCGAAAATGAAATAATTTTTCGAATTGAGGCAAAATTCAGTGAGATACGGTAGTTTTTAATGTTTTGCTTAATATTTCGATACTACCGTATCTCGCTTCATTTTTGATGGACCCCAGCAATTTTGTGATTTTCAAATTTTGCAATATATGCGCTTCAATATAAGCCTAGACACGACTAGGTTTGCTAAATTTTAAAATTTTCGTGGTGGGACCCAAATTTCGTGAAAATTCAAATTCCAGAAAACCTTGTCGTGTCTATACTCATATTGAATCTAAAGACTTAACGATTCAGAAAATTAAAAAATTTCAGATTTCGAACAAAAATTGAAGAGAGATACGGTAGTTTTGAATTTTGGAACTTTTGAAACTACCGTAACTCGGCTAATTCTTGGTCAAACCTTTTGAAATTAATATTTTTGATCTTGTCATGTTTTTCGCTTTGAAATGAGCTTAAACACGACTGTTTTTGCTTTATTTTGAAAATTTCGAACTTTCGTGGTGGGACCCAAAAATCCCAAATTTCCGAAATTTCCAGAACTAGGCATGATTATACTCATTTTGAAGCTCTCTTCACCACAAATTCAAAATTTTCAGTTTCATCAATTTTGGTACAGTACCTATCGAGATTTTGGCGAAAATTCAAAACCTAGCAAACCTGGGCGTGTTTATACACATTTTAAAGCCCTTTTTGAGACAAATTCAAATTTTTAAGTTTTTTCGCATTCGCTACAGTACCCATTGAGATACAGTATGTTTTTTTCCAGAACATTCCCAAGAATTCGAGTGAAAAACCTCATCGTGCCTACAGTAATCCCGAATTTTTTGGAATTTTGGAATCGTTCGAAATTTGTGGAGTGCAAGAATATGACGATGAAACGGGACTCAAAGCGATTCGAGAAATTTCCATTTTTACAAAAATTTATTCTAAAAGATCCGGAAATTCCGAATTTCGAGTCAGTTCGAAATTTGGCGAAATTGAGGGATCAATTTTTAAAATTCGGAATTTTCGCATTTTTAAACGGTGGAACATTTTTGGGGTGGTTCCGAGAATGTACAGTAATCCCGCATACCACTGATATGGATTTGGCAATTTTTTCCGAAAATTGGAATTCCCAATTTTTCGAGTTTTTATGGTCTCGACAATCGGATTTTCGAGTAAAACGACAATTGGGAATGGTGGGTTTTTTTTTGAAAATCAAAAATTGGTAAAAAATTAGGAAAGTTATTTGAGGCTACTGTATCTCGATGGGTACTGTACCAAATTTGTCGAACTTAATATTTTTCAATTTGCCATGAGAAGAGCTTCAAAATGAGTATAATCATGCCCAGGTTTGAATAAATTTCAAATTTTCGAAAATTTGGGTCCCACCACGAAAATTCGAATTTTTCAAAATGGAGCCAACCTAGTCGTATTTAGGCTTATTTTGAAGCTAGAAACCTGAAAAATTTGAAAATCCAAACATTTCAAAGTATGCGCAAAAATGGAGTGTGATACGGTAGTTTCAATTTCTCCAAAACGTTGAGCACTAAATTTAAAACTACCGTATCTCAGTGGGTACTGTACCAAATTTGTCGAATTTAATATTTTTGAACTTGCCGTGAAAAGAGCTTCAAAATGAGTATAATCATGCCCAGGTTTCAATAAATTTCAAATTTTCGAAAATTTGGGTCTCATCACGAAAATCGGAAATTTTCAAAATTGAGCAAAGATAGTTGTGTTTAGGCTCATTTTGAAGCTAAGAAGATGACAGATCGGAAACTCAAAAAATTTCGAAATTTGTAGAAAAACGAAGTGAGATACGGTTGTTTCAAAGTTTCAAGCAAACTGGTATAACGAAATCTACCGTATCTCAGCCCACTTCCGGAATCTTTGGGCAAAACTTATATTTTTTTAACTTTTCATGTTCTCAGCTTCAAAATGAGCCCAAACTCGACTAGGTTTAGAACATTCTTGGGATTACTGTAGTTTTCGTGGTGGGACCCAAATTTCGAAATTTTTCCAACCTAGCCATGGTTATACAGATTTTGAAGCTCTCCTCACGAGAAACAAGAATCTTTTCGTGTCAAAAGTTTTGGTACGGTACCTATCGAGATACGGTAGTTTTAGTTATTTTTTTCAAAAAGGCCCTGTAACTTTCTTCATTTTCTACCGATTTTCCTGACTTTTAGCTTAAAATGTTGGGAATTTTAGGTAAATGATTCCTACGAGATTACTGTAGTTCCAAAATCCGGATTTCCAACACCAATCGACATTTTTTTGCTTTACGAAACGAAAAACGAGACAACCGGAGTGGATTATCGTTGGGTGGGCGGGACCGCAGGTGGGCGTGGCCTCAAAAAGTGGGCGTGGCTTAAAATCTGGATTTTTAGGTCATTTTTTTAGCACAAAATTGTTCAAACTACAAATTTTCCGAAAAATTTAGATTAGAGTTTTTTTTCGGAATTTTCCGAAAATCAGATTTTATCTTTCTTTTTTCTTTTTTGGAAAATGGAAAAAAGATCAAAAAACGGATTACTGTAGACCATACTTGTAAAATTCCGGGCCTGAGAAAATTTTCAAGGCCCGGGCCCGGCCCGGAAGGCCCGGTAGCAAAAATTTTGTCATTTTGAGCCAAATTTTGAGCTATCAATACAATTTTCTCCATTATTTTTTTGTGTTTAAACGGGCCGGCCCGGCCCGGCCCGGCCCGTTACAAGCTGTAGACAGCATTTCTTGAAAATCCAAAAAAATTCAAAAATTCAAACTACAGTACCCCTAAAATTTTCAGTTGACGGCACGAAATACAAATACATCTACCCTCCATACGACCCATATTGCTCAGCTGATCTTTTGGGACACATTTTTTGGGTCACATGTACACCGGAGGATAAGGTTACGGTAGGTGCTTACTATTAAAACTACCGTACCTCGATGGGTACTATACCGAATTCTATGAAAATAGAAGATTTGAATTTGTCGTGAGAAGAGCTTCAAAATGAGTATAATCATGCCTAGGTTTGGGGGAAAATTTCGAAATTTGGGTCCCACCACGAAAACTACAGTAATCCGGAAATGTATCAGAATCTAGGCGTGATTAGGCTCATTTTGAAGCTTACATCCTGAAAAAGATGAAAATTGGAAAATATTTAGGTTTGTACGAAAATGAACAAAGATACGGTAGTTTTTCAGAATTGTATTGCTTGAAATTGGAAAAACTACCGTATCTCCCTTCATTTTCAGCCAAACTTCGAAAATTTTTGATTTTCAAGTTTCTCATGTTTAGAGCTCAAAAATGAGCCTGAACACTACTAGGTTTGCTTTATTTTGAAAATTTTCGAGTTTTCGTGGTGGGACCCAAAAATCCCAAATTTCCGAAATTTCCAGAACTAGGCATGATTATACTCATTTTGAGGCTCTCTTCACCACAAATTCAAAATTTTTAGTTTCATCAATTTTGGTACCCATCGAGATACGGTGGATTAAAAATTAAAAAAAATTTTTTTTTCGCATTTTTCGCCAAATCAAACCTTTCCAGCTGGAGTACGGTAATCAATGGTATCTGGACCGAAATTCGCTGAAATACGTGTGGAATGCGGCGAAGAATGTGATAAAAAACGGGCGATTCTCAAGGAGACAAATGATGGAAACTGTATACAATGTGTATAAATATAGTGATTATTTGTGATAAAAAATTTTCAAAAAAAATTCGAAACAAAATGTTTTTTTTTGAAAAATTTGAATCCCGCCCGACCACACAAACCTGCGTCTCTCCATCTCTCTGCACCAATTTCTTGGCTCTCTCTGTCTGCGTCTCTCTCGTTATCCCAATCTTTTTCTCTTCCAGAATTTCAGATTTTTCTAGAATTTTCGAAGAAAATTCTTCGACTAAAATAGTGCATTCCAGCGAGATATGATCTGCAGGTTCTCGGATACGGTATACTGTAGTTGTGCCAGAAATCGAGAAATTTTGCTGAAAAAATTGAAAAAAAATTTTTTTTGGAAATTTTTGAAAATTTTCGAAATATTCAAATTCCCGCCAAATTTCAAAATTTTTATGCTGTAATAAGAATGCGCTCTATCGGACTTTTCGATTTTTTAAAGATTTTCAAAAAAGTCTTCATTTTAAGGCAATTTTGCTGAATAATGCTGAATATTGAATTCTTATATAATTTTTTTTGAATTTCCCGCCAATTTTCCCCCAAAAATTGTAAATGTGCTCTATCTCAAAACAGCCTATTTTTTGCGGTTTTTCGAATTTTTAAAATCTATACATTTTCCGGCTTTCCAATCATCAAAATCCCGGCGTATGTGTGTCCGTTTGTCCGGATTTCCAGCTCAATTTCTGGATTTTTGAACCAAGAATCTTCTAGAATTACTGGAAATTTTAGGCCACTGGGGAGGTCTGAAATAGGTATTTTTTCGGGCTTTTTCTGAGTCAAAAAAAGGGCAAACCTGAGCACACAAAATCGCCCATTTTCAAAAAATCATAGTTTTCAATTTTCAAAAAAACTGAAAATCTCTGGAAAATGTCAGCAATTTCCAGAGATTTTAGAATAAAATAGACATTTCTAATATTGCTAGTAGAGCTCATTCTAAAGCTGAGCAATGGAAAAGGTGGGTCAAATGAGGTCTAACAGGGGGAAAAAAAAGGGGGAAACCTGTTGCCTAGGCAACCGGAAATAAAGAGGAGGGCGATTAGAACAGAAGAGAATAATTTATATAAAGAAAATACGGGAAAAAGAACAATAACAGGAAACAAAAAAGAGAGAGATTCTATATCATTATTATACTAGACAAAAAACAAAAAATTACAAAAAAATCACTAATTTTCCTAAAAAACTACAACAAAAATTAACCAGGATATGGGGGGAAAAACAATAAACAAAGAAGATCATTGAAAGGGTCAAATTTAAGCAAAAAAATGGGGAATGAAAACCAGTCTTCATCAGGATAAGGGGAAGAATTAAAGATGAGCAATCGACGGAATTTAGAATCCCATTCCTCCCATACCGCCCATTCCACCCATTCCTCCCATTCCACCGGCTGGTCCTGCTGGCTCCTCCTTTGGAATCTCGGTCACAACGCATTCGGTGGTGGCGAGAAGGGAGGCGACTCCAGATGCGTCTTGGAGGGCAGTTCGGACGACCTGGAATAGGCAAAAATTGAAATTTTAGTTCATTTTTGAGCCAAAATATCAATTTTTAATGCCATTTTCTGACAAAATATGTTAATTTTTTAGCTAAATTCTGTCTAAAATTGGTTATTTTGCCAATTTTCAGAGTTCCAAAGCACCAATTTGATTTTTAATGCAATTTTCAGACAAAATCACCCCTTACCTTGGTTGGATCAATAATTCCAGCCTCGAACATATTGACGAATTTGGAGTTAAGAGCATCATAACCGTAGGCAGCATTGCTATTTCCCATAACCTCATCAATAATAGACGATGGCTCGAGTCCGGCATTCTTGACAATGGTGGAAATTGGTTGCACCAACGACTTCTTCACAATATTCACTCCAATTTGTTGGTCCTCATTGGCAGCCTTGTATGTCTTAAGAGCATGGAGAGATCTCAAAAGAGCAACACCTCCTCCTGGAACGATTCCCTCTTCAACAGCAGCACGTGTAGCGCAGAGAGCATCAGTGACACGATCCTTCTTCTCTCCAACCTCGACCTCAGAAGCTCCTCCGATCTTAAGAACAGCGACTCCCTTGGAGAGTTTGGCAAGTCGTTCGTTGAGTTTCTCCTTTTCGTATTCGCTGGTTGATTGTTCAATCTCCTCAGCGATATGCTCAATTCTCTTCTCGATTTCAGCAGCTTCTCCACGTCCGCGAAGAAGGAGAGTGTCGTCCTTGGTGATGGTGACTTCGTCAACCTCTCCAAGATCGTTGGCAGTGATGTCTTCGATCTTGATAAGGTTCGAGTCGTCTCCGAAGATTGTGGCACCGGTGGCGATTCCCATATCCTTGAGGGTGTTCTTGCGGTTGTCTCCGAATCCTGGAGCCTTGACGGCGACCACTTGGAGTCCGACCTGGAAAATTTGAAACGTTTTTCTAGTTTTAAGCATTTTTCAACACCAGAAACTTGAATTTTTACAGCTATTTTAGCGTCAATTTCTATCCTAAACCTTCCTCTCCTTTCCTTCTAAATTTCCTGCACTCAAAAAGTTGTTTACACTTTTTTTTCTTCAAACTGCTGTAGTAAATTTGCTCTGATAAGATACGCTATCACCCAAAAAAAACAAGCGCTTCTATCTCACAAGGTCGCTCGTTCTTTGTTTCTTATCTCTCAGAAATCACTGATTACTTGACAAACTCTGTATGTCTATCGGGGTTCAAAATAGGCACAAAACCCTGAAATGATGTGAATTTGGCCCTCAACGGACCTAGAATAGCCTAGAAATGGCCTGAAATAGCCTAATACAGCCTAGAAACCATCCAGGTTAGAATGACCTGGAAGGGCTTGATTTGGCCTAAGTTTGATGAGGCAAAAAAGCCTGAAATAGGCCCCTACGTACCTAAAATGACTCAGAACAGCCTGAAAATAGCCGAAATTTTGTCTCGAACAACGTGAGATAGTCAAAAACACAGCCTGAGAACGGCCTGGACGAGCCTAGAATAGCCTACCCGACTGATGAATTTCAAACGGTTTGAAATTCAAACCAATGAGAAAACCGCCTAGAAAGAGGCTTCAATGGTTGGAAACTCAGAAAATAGCGATTCTCAGCTATAAAATCAAAAAAACAAACCTTAAGTCTATTGAGAACAAGAGTGGTGAGAGCTTCTCCATCAACATCCTCAGCAATAATAACCAATGGACGGCGGAGCTTGTTAGCGAGCTCAAGAGCCGGAACAATATCCTGGACCTGACTGATCTTCTTCTCACTCAAAAGCACCAAAGCCTTCTCATACTCGACCTTGGCTCCCTTGGCAGAAGTGATAAAGTATGGAGAGATGTATCCTCTGTCGAACTTCATTCCCTCAATCAACTCCAACTCATCAGTGAGTGTCTTTCCATCCTTAACAGTGATAACTCCAGTGGTTCCAACCTTTTTCATAGCATCAGAGATCAAGTTTCCAACGACGGTGTCTCCATTGGCGGAAATTGTGGCGACTTGAGCGATCTCTTCTGGGGTGGTGACTTGTTTCGAAAGCTTCTTCAGCTCGGCAACAACCACATCGACGGCGTTCATCACTCCACGACGGATCTCAACGGCGTTTCCTCCCTGACGGATGCTCTCGAATCCTTCTTTAGCGATGGCACGGGCAAGAACGGTGGCACAGGTGGTTCCGTCTCCAGCCTCCTCGTTGGCCTTATTGGCGACGTCTTGGATGAGTTTGGCTCCCAAATTCTGGTATTTGTCCTTGAGATCGATGGATTTGGCAACGGTGACTCCGTCTTTTGTGATCTTTGGACTTCCCCATGATTGCTCGATGATCACGTTTCTTCCCTGGAAAAATATGATTTTGAGTAGAAAAGGGGGATTTTTGAGCTAATTTTGGGCTATCTTCCTCATTTTGAATGGATTTTCCCGATTTTTAGTCTAGAATCGGAATTTCTGAGCATTTTTCTCAATTTTCCTGCTTCAAGCCTCAAAAATTCGAATTACAGGCTCCTGTCCCCATTTTGAGTGGAATTTTCACGACTTTCTGGCCTAGAATCCAAATTTTCAGGATTTTGAATCGATTTTTGCCGGATCCAAAGCACTTTTCACAGTTTTTTCCAGCTCCAAGTCTCCAAAATTCGAATTTTAGGCTTTTTTTGCGCCTACCTTTTGACCCATTTAAGGGATCTGGGCACTTCTAGACGAATTTTGACGATTTTTTGGCATATTTTGTACCATTTTTTGTGAATTTTAAAAATTTCATGACCATTTTTCACGAATTCCCAGCTCCAAGCCTCCTAAATTCGAATCTTAGGTCCTTTTCGCCCCTACCTTTGGACCCATAGTAACAGAGACGGCATCAGCCAAAAGGTTGACTCCAACAAGCATTGCTGCACGTCCTTCAGCGCCGAACTTCACATCCTTGGCGTAGGATCTGATGACAGCGGTCTGAACTCCCTTTCTGGCGAGGCGAAGCATTTTTTTTGTCTGAAAAAATGCTTTTAAAAATGCGTTTTGGCCTAAAATTGGGTAAAAAAGGACGAAAATGATGCAAAAAAAATTGTCTAGAAATTATAGAAACTTCTTGGTTCATTTTTTGAAATTTTTGAAAATTCAAAAAATCCAAATTTTAGGCCTAAATATCGAGATTTCTCTTGAAATTCAGCGTAAAACGGCTTCAAACTCCTCAAAAATGATGCAAAAAGTGACTAGGAACTATAGAAATTCGGTGAAATAATTTTTTGAAAATTTGGAAATCTCAAAAACCCAAATTTTAGGCCTAAAAAACGCTCATATCTTATTGAAAATAGGGTAAAATGGCCTCGAAACCATCAAAAATGATGCAAAATCGACCAAAAAACCTATAGAAATATGGAAAACGGCTGATTAGCATGATAACAGATACAAAAATGACCTGAATTGAAGACTTTTGCATCATTTAGGACGCGCCGCCCACTTTTTTGCAACCCTGGCACGCTTTTATGGGCGGGGCATCGCTGATTTCTGCGCGCACTCTGCACCGCCCGTTCGTTGACTCGTCGGATCCGCCCATTTTTTGCAAATTCACCGCATAGGTTCTCTGTGTTTTCTCCATTGCCGCCTATTTCGAGAAGCTTCTTTTTTAGATTTCAGCTGTTTTTTTGCCATTTTTTCGCGGATTTTTCTTGAAAAAATTGATTTTTAGCTCGAAAATTCGAAGAAATTCCAATTTTTCAGACCGAAGCCATGTTCCTGACCGCTGTCCGTCGCTCGGTAAGCCTCTAAAAAACTCAAAGATGTTTGAGAAATCCCTGAAATGTCATTTTTTCCAGAGCAACGTTCTCAAGTCGTTCAAGCCACTCTACGACCGTGTGCTCGTCGAGAGAGTCGCCGCCGAGACCAAAACCAAGGGAGGAATCATGCTTCCAGAGAAATCGCAGGGAAAGGTGCGATTTTCAGGGTTTTCTGACCTAAAAAATCGAGTTTTAAGCCTATAAATCATGCTAGAAGTTGAAATTTTGGCTGGAAAACTGTAAAATTCAAATTTAAAAAAAAACGAAAAAATGATGCAAATGGCTCAAAATATGAGAAAATGAGCTTTATATAGTTTTCTGACCTAAAAAATCGAGTTTTAAGCCTATAAATCGCCCAAGAAGCTCGAATTTAGGCTTGGAAAACTGGGAAATTCAAATTTTGTAAGAAAAACGAAAAAAAAAATGATGCAAAATGCAAAAATAGGAGAAAATGTAGCTTTTTAAGGTTTCCAGGCCTAAAAACCGTCTTTTCGAGCAAAAATCAAAAATGATGCAATTTTTGCAGGTCCTCGAAGCCACCGTCGTCTCCGCCGGTACCGGACTCCGTAACGAGAAGGGAGAGCTCGTCGCATTGACAGTGAAGCCAGGAGATCGTGTTCTTCTTCCAGAATACGGAGGCACCAAGGTGTGTAGTCAGGAATTATCGAAACAAAAAAGCGAAAAATTCGGTTGAAATGGCTTTTTTGGCTCTAAGGAGCGTTTTTCCGATCGAAATCAGCTGAAAAGATCATTTTTATGCCCAAAAATCGCTATTTTCCATTTAATTTGTTTGTGAGGTTTTGTTCCGTTTCGTACAGATTTGGGTCACTTTTCATGTAGTTTTCACTGGAATATCAAGAATTTCTGCCTGAAAACCTTGTTTTTAACTGAAAATGTGTCTGAAATTCGATTTTAGCTTCATTCCGAGAGATCCCGCACTTCAAGATGGTTTCTGAACGATTTTCAGCATTTTAAAGAAAATTTTCAACATAAGACCTGAAATTGGCTACAAGTGTGTCGATTTTTAGCATTTTGAGCAGAAAAATCGCCAACTTTTCATTTTTTAAGCCTCAATTCTGCTTGCAAAATCACATTTTGAAGCTGAAATATTGCATTTTGAGCCGGAAAAATCGCCAAATTTTGAGTTTTTAGACATAATTCAGCCTGCAAATTCGAATTTTTAAGCTTAAAACTCGCTGAAATTCCAATTTTCAAAGTTTCTGAACGGTTTACAGCGTTTTGCGGACATTTTCAGCTTGAGAAATTCAAGGATTGTTTCAAGAGAAAATAATGATTTCTAGACGATTTTTAGAACAAATTCACCGGTTTCAGCCGAAAAATTTCAATTTCCAGGCCTAAATTTACCTAAAAATCCAAGTTTTGAAACTCAAAAATTGCTAAAATTCGAGAAAAAATCCCAATTTCTCATATTTCAGGTCATCGTTGAGGACAAGGAATACTCAATCTTCCGCGAGTCGGACCTTCTCGGTGTCTTCCACTAAACGACGCCTTCACAAAATTCCGATGTTCGGTCTCAATCGCCCAAAAAAATCCATTTTAAATTATGTGTTTTTAGTAGTTTTTAGGACTTTTTTATTGATTTTTTTTAGCCCTTTTTGTGTTAATTTTTTGTTAAATCTCTCCATTTTTTTGTTATAATTGTCTCTACCCAACCGGTCCCCCTGTTTTTGAGATACATGATGATTTGTTTCCAAATGGATTCTCTTCGATTAGTTCTTCTTTTCCCGCGCCAAGGTCATAATCCCGAAGGCGTCACTTAAATCTCAATTCTCGAGAGATAATTCGACTGCTGCTGCTGCTGCGTTCTCTCTCATTTAGAACATTACCTATTTTCTTTTATTCTATTTCATTCCTTCGATTTTCTACTGTTTTCTCTCTATTTTTCCATTTTTCTCTATTATTTTTACTCTAAAAATGCCAAAAAACCTGGAATCCGTGGTTCATGAAGCTGGATCTGCCTACTCGGAAGGACGATATCAAGAAGCACGGGAACTCTACGAATCTGCACTTCTAACGAATCCCAACAACGGAATTCTACATGCCAACCTATCAGCGATTCTTCTGAAAATGAATTTGGCTGAAAATTCCTTAAAACACTCGGAAATCGCGGTTAGGCTGTGTCCAACATGGGCAAAAGCACACTATCGAAGAGGTGAATCCCTGAAACACGCTGAAAGAGTGCTCGAATCGATTCTAGCGTATTCCAATGGAATCAGACTGGATTCTACGAATTTTCAAATTCTGAAAAGTCTCAAAGAGGCGATTTTCTCATTTTACGGGTGCAAATTCCCTTGGGAAAATTTGAAAGTGCTGAAATTGGATGAAGATGTTCCAACAATTCTGGCAACACTTGGACAAACGATTCTAGCGGATTCCAGAGATGGAAAAGCGAATTTTGAGGGTAAATTTTTAATTTTTTAGGTCTAAAATGCCCAAAAATTACTTTCTTTGGCTACTTTTAGGCTTGAAATGCCTTAAAACGCCAAAACATCTGAAATGACCTTTCCAGACATTTTCTAGGCTCAAAATGCCTCTAAGCGATCTACAGAACAGCTAAAATGACTTTTCTAGACTTAATTTAAGCCTAAAATTCCTTTTAAACGGCAAAAACTTGCTGAAAATGACTTTTGACTTATTTTAGGCTTAAAGTGTCTTAAAACAGCCAAAATGACTTTTCTCGACCATTCTGAGGCCTAAAAAGCCCAGAAAAGGCCTAAAAATGCCTGGAAAGGTCTTAAAAGAGTCTTAAGAAACGCCACAATTCTTTAAAAATTCAGTTTCCTAACAATCCTGCAATTCTCCTTGGACCTTGATTTGAAATCAATCAAACTGCTGGAATCAGTATATGGATCACTTGCATCGGCATACTGTAGTTTAGAAAAGTATGAGCAATCGATGGGGTTTTTGAAGAAGCAGTTGGAAACGGCGATTCAGATTGGTAATGTTAAAAAAATAGATTTTTTTTTCAAAAATTTGGAATTTTAGAATCCCCAAAAATCGCGGAAATTCGCGAGAATTTGGCTGAAATTGCTGAAATTTTGGACGATTTCCACGTGGCGATTGAGCAGAGGAGGCATTTGGAAAGGATTTATCGGGTACGGTAATCCGAAAAATTGAAATTTCACAATTTTTTAAAAAAAGCTACAGTAATCCCTAAAAAGTATAGTAACTCAAAACCTTGAAAAATCGAAGTTTTTAAATTTCGGAGAAGCTACAGTATTCCCCTATTTAGGGAAAATACAGTAATCCAAGTTTGGCCAGTGTTAGTGTAAAATGAAGACCTACGGTAACCAAATTGAATCAAATTGGAAGATCACTGTACCTACAGTAACCCCAAAAATGTTCGAAAATCGAAAAATCAATTTCTGTAACAAGAAGATTACTGTAACTACCATAAATACAGTAATCATGTTACAGTACTCCTTGGATTACTGTGCCTACAGTAACCCTATAAATGATACAGTAGTACAATCAGAAGGAGTGATCTAGCTACACACAAAATGGCCTACAGTAATCCAACTTAAGGGGTACCTGAATCGAGGAAAACTGTATTCAATTTCGAACAACTACAGTACTCCAAAATTCGGAAAGTACAGTACCCCATCGAATTTCTGTACTTACAGTACCCGCAAACTAAAGGTTACAGTATTCGAACTGAGGATTACTGGACCTACAGGGATTCTAAAAACTACAGTAACCATCAAATCACAAAAATCTTGAAATTCTGTGCCTACAGTAACCATTTTAAAAGGAGTACTGTAGTTACGCACAAAAAACCTACAGTACTCCTAAAAATTTCAAAAATCGAGAAATCAGTGATAACTACCTTAAAGACAGTAATCCTAGCTTGGAAACTTCAGTACTCTGTAGAACTACTGTCCCTACAGTACTCATTAACTAGGACTACTGTACTTAACATGAAATAACTACAGTAATCCAAAGCTTTGAAACAACTGTATCAGAATCCCTGGGATTAATGTACCTACAGTAACCCAATTCAAAAAATCAAAGTTTTCAGACCCCGGAATCAACTCTAAAGCTCTGCGATGTCTACCTAAAAGCTGGAATTCCAGAGAAAGTGTTTTTGATTCTCGAAAATTCGAATTTTAAAGCTGAGCAATGCTCATTGCTCATCGCACGAGCACACATATCAAAAGGAGATCACAAAGAGGCACTTCGATTGCTCATTCCAGAATTTTCTAAAAATTCAAATTTCGAACTAATCGATACCATCAATCAATGCTTTCTGGATTTGGATGATCTGAATTCGTCCATTGAATTTTTGAATTCAATTTTAAAACGAAAAAATTCGGACAAATCAGAAAAATCAGGAGATTTGGTGGGTTTTTTTAAAGATTTTTGAAAATTTTCAAAAAATTGAAACTACCGTATCTCGATGGGTACTGTACCAAAATCAATAAAACTAACATATTTGAATTCGTCGTGGAAAGAGCCTCAAAATGAGTATAATCATGCCTAGGTTCCGAAAATTCGAAATTTGGGTCCCACCACGAAAACTACAGTAATCCAAAAAATGAGCGGAATCTAGTCGTGTTTGATCTCATTTTGAAGCTAGAAACATGAGAAATCAGAAAATCAAAAAATTTTCAAGTTATGTGAAAAATGAAGGGGGATACGGTGGTTTTTCCGATATCAAGCAAAAAAATTGGAAAAAACTACCGTATCTCACTTGGTTTTCGTACAAAGTTTGGCATTTATTTGATTTTCGAATTTTCCTGGTTTGTAGCTTCAAAATGTGTACCTAAACACGACTAGATTCCGCTCATTTTTTGGATTACTGTAGTTTTCGTGGTGGGACCCAAATTTCGAAATTTTCGGAACCTAGGCGTGATTATACTCATTTTGAAGCTCTCCTCACGACAAATTCAAATATGCTTGTTTTATTGATTTTGGTACAGTACCCATCGAGATACGGTAGTTTAAAATTTTCGAAAAAAATTTTTTTTTTTTTTGAAAAATCGGTTTTTTTAAATTTCAGCTACTCCACTGTTACTGTCTTCTTTGCCAAACCCAAATCACAGCTGGAAATCTGGAAACAGCGCTGAAAATCGCGAAATTTGTCTTAAAGTTGGCAAAACAATCTGAAAATCTGAAAATCCACGAAGCGAATGCTTTTCGACTTTTGGCTATAATTTATGAGCATCAAAAGGATTTTGGATCCTCAATAATTCTGTGGAAAAAATATTTGGACCCGGGATTTCAGACAATTCTAACGAACTCTGAAAAATTGAGGGGATTTCTTCAAATGACAAGAATTGCGCAGAATGAGACGGTTAATGAGGATGTGGGACACATTTTTGATAAAGCTGAGCAATTGGTCAAAAAGTGAGAAAAGTCAAGAAAAATCCGAAAAAATTTGAGCCAAAATGGACCAAAATGGCCCGAAATGGGCAGATTTATTTGAAAATTTTGAAAAAATACAGTAATCCTTCTGAAATTCATAGGATCTAGTTGAAAAATAAAATTTTGAGCTCGCCTTGTTGTTAGCTTCAAAATGAGTATAAACACGCCTAGGTTCTGAGAATTTTTGGGATTACTGTAGTTTTCGTGGCGGGACCCAAATCTCGAAATTTTTTAAACCTAGGCATGATTAAACTCATTTCAAAGCTCTCTTTGTGAGGAGTTCAAACGTACTAATTTCATCAAGTTTGGTACAGTAGCCATCAAGATACGGTAGTTTCGAAGTACACAAATTTTCCCGGTGGACCCAATTTTCAAAAAATTTTCAAACCTAGGCATGATTATACTCATTTTGAAGCTGTTTTCACAGGAATTTCAAATTTATCAATATCATGAATTTTGCTACAGTATTCATCGAGATACGGTAGTTTCAATTTGCACTTTCCTTACAATTAGGGACTGCAAAAACTACCGTAACTTGTCTGATTTTTTGAAAATTAGCTCATAACCAAGAGTTTTGAATTTGCCTTGTTTTCGGCTTGAAAATGAGTATAAAAACGACTACATTTTAAAAGTTATTGGGATTACTGTAGTTTTCGTGGCGGGACCCAAAAATTGAATTTTTTTCTTCTTCAAACCTAGTCATGTTCATACTCATTTTGAAGCGCTAAACTAGAAAAATTCAAAAATATAATTTTAAAAAAGAGTGGGTCGAAATTAGCCGAAATACTGTAGTTTCAAATTGACTTGCTGTCTTAAATTTCGAAAATCGGCGTAACTTGTACAATATTGGTTCAAATACTTTAAAATTAAAAGCATTCTATTTGTCTCATTAAGAGCTTAGAAATGAGTATAATCACGACCTACTTTTCTCACATTTCATTTTTCGGACCCCCTATGCGCCTTTAAAGTTGTAATTTCAAAGTTAAAGGAACATAGTCATGATTATACTCATTTTAAAGCCCTTTTCAGGACAACCTCAAAAATCCAAAACTCGAATTGTTTGGACCAAAATTGACCGAGATACGGTACTTTCAAATTTTCAGATGTTCCCGCTCCTCAGAAAAAGTCGCCTTCTATTCCGCAAAGTTTCGATGGCTCCAATCAATAAAATCCGAGGAAAATGAATCGAAAAAAATTCTGGAAATTTTGGAAAGTTTGCTGAAATCCGAACCAAATTTGGATTCCAAATCGAAATCTTTAATTTTTGAGGATTTAGCAAGACCAATTTTGGCGCCAAATTCAAATTCAAATTTAAAATCGACGATTCTGGCGCTGGAACAGAGTTTAACCGAAGCCCAAGACGCCAACGATTTGTATCGAGAAGCTGGAATTTCAGAGAAAATTGGGAATTTTTTTGCTGACAATTTCAGCCAAAATTCCAGCCAAACCGATCAAAAATTGGCTGAAAAGTACTATAATCAACAGTTGGAAGTGGGAAAACAGCTGAAAAACGCCAAAATGATGGCTGATTCGCATGCCAACGTGGCAAGGCTGAAATTTCAGAATTTGGATTTTAAAGGCGCATGCGAGCATGCGAGATGTGCTCTGACTATTTTTAAATTGGCCATGGACAACGAACAAAAGCTGGATATGCTCATTTTGTTGGCTGAAGCTGAAATGGAGAGGTTTGTCTTTAAAATGAGCCTAAAATATTGAAAATCGGTTGAAAATGAGAAAAGTTCTGAAGTTTAAAAATTTTTGAAATTATCAAAAAAAAACGATTTTTTTTCCAAATTTTTGTATTTTTCCAGGTTCTCATCTAAATTGAAATTTGTGTTAATTTTCAAGTCTAGCTCATTTTCGGCTTCAAAATAAGCGAAAAATCATAAAATTTGGTTGAAAATGAGCAAAGTTAGGAAGTTTTGAAATTTAAGAAAATTCATTTTAATTGGAAACTCCTGAATTTCTTCTACCCCATAAGCTAACTTTTGAAATGTATATTTTTCAATTTAACTTGTTTTCAGCTGCAAAATAAGCCAAAAATCATAAAATTTGGTTGAAAATGAGCAAAGTTAGGAAATTTCGAAAAGTAAAAAAATTAATTTTTAAACTTTTTTTTTTGAAAACTTATTGTGTAAACTTAGGATGCTATCGGAATCTAATTTTGAGTAAATTTTCGTATTTAGCTCATTTTCAGCTTCAAAATAAGCCTAAACACGACTAGATTTGCTCGATTTTGAAAATTTTGGTGGCGGGACCCAAATCTACCGTAACTTGACTAATTTCGATCCAAGCGTTTCGAAATTTACATTATTAGGTTTGCCTTGTTCAGAGCTTCAAAATGAGTGTAATCATGCTTAGGTTTGAAAAAATTCAAAAATTGAGTTTTTCGAATTTTCGAAATTTGAAGCTACCGTATCTCGATGGGTACTGAACCGAAATTGAAGAAACTAACAAATTTGAACTCGTAATACAAAAAGCTCATTTTGTTGGCTGAAACTGAAATGGAGAGGTTTGTCTTTAAAATGAACCTAAAATCTTAAAAATCGGTTGAAAATTAGCAATGTCAGACAATTTTGAAAAACATACAACATCAAAAAATTATTTTTTTTTTTGGAGAATGTGTTGCATCTTTGTAGGATGTGGCTCAAAAGAGGTTTTGTACAAATTTTCAATATTTGCATATTTTCAGCTTCAAAATATGCTAAAAATCTCAAAAATCTGTGAAAAATGAGCAAAGTTAGGAAGTTTTGAAATTTACGAAAATTCATTTTAATTGGAAACTCCTGAATTTTTTTAACTTTGCGAGACTTCTTTTGAAATTTATATTTTTGAATTCAGCTTGTTTTTAGCTTCAAAATAAGCTGTAAATCATGAAATTTGGTCAAAAATGGGTAAAGTTATAACGCTTCAAAAATTTCGAAAAAAATTTGTTTTTTGAAAATTAGCTGGAAATTCAGAGGATGATGTTTAAATTGAATTTATACAAAATTTTCAAATTTAGCTCATTTTTAGCTTCAAAATAAGCTAAAAATCTTGAAAATCGGTTGAAAATGAGAAAAGTTAAGTTTTAAAATTTTGGAAATTATCAAAAAAAAAGATTTTTTTAAACTTTTGTATTTTCCCAGGATTTTATCTAAATTTAATTTTGAGCTAATTTTCGAGTCCAGCTCATTTTCAGCTTCAAAATAAGCCAAAAATCATAAAATTTGGTTCAAAATGAGCAAAGTTAGGAAATTGAAAAAAATTGAAAAAAAAATTTTGTAATTTTTTTTTTGAAAACTTTTTGTATTATCTTAGGATGTCATCCAAATTGAATTTTAAGCCAATTTTTGAGTCTAGCTTATTTTCAGCTTCAAAATAAGCCTAAGCACGACTAGATTTGCTCGATTTTGAAAATTTTGGAAAATTAACATCATTAGGTTTGTCTTGTTAAGAGCTTCAAAATGAGTATAAACAAGCCTATGTTTGCAAAAATCGAATTTTTCAGATTTTCGTGGTGGGACCCAAATTAAAAAATTTTCAAGCCTAGCCATGTTTATATTCATTTTAAAGCTGAAAACAGGCAAAATCCGTCAATCTTATTTTCAAACTAAGGGAACAATAATTAGACAAGTTACGGTAGTTTTTGCATTTTCAGAGGAAAGTGGAAACTATGGTATCTCAGCTGGTGAGCGTCCAATCTGTTTGAAATTTAGATTTTTAAGTTTGCAAGGTTTTGCGCTTCAAAATGAGTATGATCATGACCTACTTCCCAGAATTTTGAAGTTTGGGACTCCTATGCGCCTTTAAAGCGAAAAATCAAAGTGGGCGGAGCCTAGTCGTGTGCATACTCATTTTGAAGCTGAAATTGAGCTGAGCAACATAATGTGCATGAAGTTTTCAGAAACAATCTGGAAATCGCGTTATCGGCAATAGAAAAATCGATAAATCTGGCGGAAGACTGCGAATCGAATGAGAAATTGGCGAAATCCTATCGATTGATTGCTGAAATTTATGAAAAATCTGGAAAAAATGAAGAGATTTCGATTCAATTTGTGAGAAGACATATCGATTTATTTGAATACGAAAAATCGATAAATCGAAAGTGGAAATCGCTGAGAGATTTGCTGAAATTCGAAATTTCCAGAAAAATCGATAATTCTGGAAATATTGAGAATATTTTAAAAATTATGACGATTCAACTGGAATTAGAGGTAAACTTTTTTTCAAAATTTAGAAAAAAATATTTTCGAAAAATATTTTTTTTCAGGAATCCCAACTACTGGAAATCGCTGAAATCCTATCTGAAAGTCCAGCTCATCATTCATTTTTTCTGAAACTTTTGAATTTTTTATCAAATTTGCCGAAAATTAAAAATGTCGAAAAATGTCTGGAATTCGCGAAATTTCAGCCTGAAATTTTGCTGAAATTCAAAAATTTAATAAAAATGGAGGATTTGATGAGAAATTTGGCAGTTTTCGTACCGAATCTGGCTGGAAATGAGGTAAATTTTTCTGGAAAATTCAAATTTTTCGAAAACAAATTTTCAAAAAAAAAATTTTTTTTTCAATGTTTTTAAAAGTTCAAATTTTTGTGATGGCTTAGGTTTGGTGCCCTAGAAACCAAAAAACTGAATTTAGCAATATTAGAGCTTTAAAATGAGTATAATCATGACCTACTTTTCTGAAATTCATTTTTTCGGACCCCCTATGCGCCTTTAAAGTCGAAATTTCAAATTTAAAGGCACATAGGCATGATTATACTCATTTTGAAGGGAAATCTGTGATAAAGTCGGGTTTAGGAGTTTGAGAGCTTCAAAATGAGAATAATCATGTCTATGTTCCTTCAATCTCGAAAATTTGACTTTAAAGGCATAGGGGGGTCCGAAAATTGAAATTCTGGGAAGTAGGTCATGATTATACTCATTTTGAAGCTCTAAATGTCAGAAATATGAATCTGAAAACAGAAATGCAATTTAACAGAAACTAAGCGCGCTACGAAGATTCTAGTCACAGAAATGGGCATTTTTCAAAAATTGAAACTACCGTAACTTGGGAATTTTTTCTCTGAACTTGAAAATTTTTTGATTTTTGAAATCAGCGCGTTGAGAGCTTGTAATTGAGTATAATCATGATCCACTTTCCAATACTTCAATTTTTGGGGGTCCATGCGCCTTTAAAGTCGAATTTTCAAAATGGGTGGAATCTAGTCATGATTATACTGATTTTGAAGCTTTTGACGCGAAAAATCTGAATTTCATTGTTTGAAAGCCAAACTTTGGTTTTCTAGGCCATCAGATGCAAAAGTTTGGTCATCTTCGAATTTTTTTTGGAAAAAAATTTCCAAAAAAAAACTTTTTCAGGCTTTCAAAGATTCTAATGTTTTGGCAGAAATTTCTGACCTATGGAAGACGGACCAACAATATTTGAATTCTGAGAAAATGGAAATTTTTGCCCAAATCAAAATATTTCCACTCGAGACCCAAACCAGGATTTTTGATATGTTCTACACCAAAATCGACCCAAGTCTTATGCTGAGCAATAATACACTAATCCGATTCCACGTGGCAATGCTAAACGGGAAGTTTGATATGATGGCTGACGGAATACAATCAATCGATAAAATTGTGTGCGCCGCGCATCTGGATGAGGTGGAACTAATTGAGATGTGGTACTGGGTGAGTTACAGTAATCCAGAATTACTGTAGTTTGGAAAAAATGAGAAAAAAACATTTGACGCATTGTGAGCTACAAAACAGGAGTCATAGAAGTTTGAAATTTTGAAGATTTTTTTTTGGAAATTCAAATGGTCCTATAATTTGAAATTTTGCTCATAATCAAATTTTGAGAAAATAAGATTGTTTAACTCAGCAAGAGCTTCAAAATGAGTATAAACACGGCTAGGCTCCGCCCACTTTCATTTTTCGACTTTAAAGGCGCATAGGGGGTCCGGATTTTGGAATCTTGAGAAAGTAGGTCATGCTTATACTCATTTTGTAGCTTGCAAAGCTGAAGAATTGAAAATAAAAGTTTTTTCCAGAAATTCTTGAATTTGACAGAGTTATGAGGAAAACAAGTTTTTCATGAAAAACTCCTAAAATTGAATTTCGACCATAACTTTTGAATTTTTGGAAATTTTAGAATATACTAATGATTTTTTGATTTTACAAACCTAGAGCTTTAAAATGAGTCTAATCATGACCTACTTTCTCCACATTTTGTTTTTCCGGACCCCTATGCGCCTTTAAAGGGAAAAATCAAAATGGGCGGAGCCTAGGCATGATTATACTTATTTTAAAGCACTTATAAAGCAAATTCTAAAAATAATAGTTTCATAAAGTTTAGTGCAGTATTCACGGAGATACGGTAGTTTCAATTTTGGTTTTTAAAAATCACATTTGACCGTATCTCAATGGGTACTATACCACATCTGAAAAAATTCAAATTTTGAACTTGTCGTAAGAAGAGCTTCGAAATGAGTATAATCATGACCTACTTTCCTGGATTTTCAAAATCTGGACCCCCTCTGCGCCTTTAAAGTCAAAAATCAAAGTGCGCGGATCATAGTCATGATTATACTCATTTTGAAGCTCAAGACCTCACAAATTCGAATAACGTGTAACTGAAACCTAATAATCAATTTCCAGCGAATTCCAGACATATTTTCAGTAAAAAAAAAGAGAATTTACAGGAATTTCTGGAATCCAATCCGTTGGCGTCCACTGGATATCAAAAAATGATCGATCGATATTTTCCTGGCTCAAAAGCTGAGGTGCTCCGGTTCGCTGCAATTTTCACTGCAATCGCGATATCAGAAAAGCTGAAAATTCTGGAAATTCTGGAATTTTGCGAATTTTCAATTTTTGGGAATACGGTTCCGAAAATTGGGGATTCGAGGAAAATCGATAAACTAAAATGTGCAAATAAAGAAATGATATATTCATTTGAAGTTGGAAGTTTTACAGTGATTTTCAATTTTGGGATTGATGGTAAGTTTTTTGTAGTTTTTATCATAACTTTTTTATTCCTTAATTTTTAAGATCAAAACTTTAATTATTGGAATTAGGGCGTCGGGAGCTTGAAAATGAGTATAAACACGACTATGCTCCGCCCACTTTGAAATTTCGAATTTAAAGGCGCATAGGGGTCCGAAATTTTTAAAACCAGAGAAAGTAGGTCATGATTATACTCATTTTGAAGCTCTAGCCGTGGGAAATTTAAAAAATCCAGTTTTCCTGCAAAAATGTTACGAAACAAGAAAGTTATGGCACAAACAAGATTTTAAAATTTTTTTCTGAAATTTTTAGTTTTCATCATAACTTTCTTATTATCGGCTGTTCAGGTTTAAAACATGTATTTTTGAATTTGGCGCGTTAAAAGCTTCAAAATGAGTATAAACACGGCTATGTTCCTTTAAACTTGAAGTTTCGAGTTTAAAGGCGCATAGGGGGTCCAAAAATTGAAAATCAAGGAAAGTAAGTCATGAGTATACTCGTTTTGAAGCTCTCAACGTGGGAAATTCGGAAACGGTAATTTCATTCGATTTGAATGAAAATTACGAAAGGTATAACTAATTTTGTAACTTAATATGAACATTTTCAGATTTCGACGTCTTCTGGATTCAGAATCGAAAATCGCTGACATTTTACGATTATCTCCTCAAGCGATATCTCCAAAGTTATGGTTATCTGGAACTTCGAATTCAATTATTCACTGATTTATTGATTGGAAACCGACAAATCGATAAAATCACAGCCAAGGAGCAGAGGTGTTGGCTGGAAGTCCCGGCTCCTCAAAATACTAAAAAATCGATAGGGATTTTGAATTTTTCTGGAAGATCCTATGATTTTCCAAACGTCCAATCTCCAGAAATTTGCTTGGAAAATTCGGAATTTTTCGAGATTATGGCTCAGAAGCTGGGTGAAGCGGAAGTTGTGATTTTGAAGGATTTGAAGAGGTTCTGGGAATTTTTTGAAATCTATTCAAGAAATTTAAAAGGATTTCCAACGACTTTATTCGTGGAGACTTTGGATTCTGAAACAGAACATTTGAATCCTAAGATGCTGAAATTGCTGGAATTTATGGGTTGTGAGCTTCGGGATGTGTTGGAAATCGAAAAAATGGTCCAGGTAAAAAAGCAAAAAGGATTTGAGCCCAGGAGGAATCGAACCCGCGACCTCTAGATCCGAAGTCTAGCTCACTACCACTGCACCATCACGCACACACCTTGCCGCCCCTCGAGATTGCAATTATAAACGCGGTGTGCAGTAGGCGCCGCTCCCCTGGCATATCTAGGCCTTCCTCACCGATTTTCTCCTATCAGCAGCGTGGCGCAGTGGAAGCGTGCTGGGCCCATAACCCAGAGGTCGGTGGATCGAAACCACTCGCTGCTAGAACCTTTTTTGCTTTTTTGTGTGTTACGGTAATGGGTAAAAGGGGTCATTTTTGAGGACTTGGTGATCTTCAATTTTTTCTAGTTTACTGTAATTGGTTGTTTTATTTCAGAAATTGAATTTGGAGTCTTCTCAAAGGCAAGATATGAGGCGAGTACTGGAAGGAGATTACTGTAGTACAGACTTAGAAGATTTTGGAATCCATAAAACGTTCCAGGATATTTTAAAAGGTAGAACCAGTTTTAGAATTTGCAGATGATTTATTGGAATTCCAGAATTTGGGAAACCACGCCTCCTGGAAATCCTACAGTTCGAAAACTTAAAATCTATGGAGATCACGAAGAAGATTCTGGAAATCCCCGAAAAAAATCTCCGTGAATTTTCAAAATCAATCTACGCGGATCACATTTTTGAAATTCCCCATGTTCCAAAACTTTCAGAACTATTCCCAGTGCGGCAGGGCAACTCTAACTTTAATTATGGGTTAGTGGTGGCCTAGGTTATGCATTTGGTGGCCTAGAAACCCAAAAAATAAACTCGGCAAATAAAGAGCTTCAAAATGAGTATAATCATGACCTACTTTTCTCAAATTTCATTTTTCGGACCCCCATGCACCTTTAAAGTCAAACTTCACAGTGGGCGGAGGCTAGTCATGATTATACTCATTTGAAAGCCCGAAATTGGGAAATGTGAAAATATTACTTTCATCAAAACGTTTTCAAAAGTAACGAAGTTATGAGAAAATCAAGCTTTTGCAAGATTTGAGGTATTTTTTGATTTTCTCATAACTTCTTGAATTCTTGGAATGTTTGCACTAAATATATATTTTTGAACTCAACACGTCAAGAGCTTCAAAATGAGTATAATCATGACTATGTTCCTTCAATCTCGAAAATTTGACTTTAAAGGCGCATAGGGGGTCTAAAAAATGGGCATTCAAGAAAGTAGGTCATGATTATACTCATTTTAAAGCTCTAAGTGTTGCAAACTAAAATCTGGAAACAAAATTGAAATTGAACAAAAACTAAGTGCGCTACGAAGATTCTAGTAATGGGCATTTTTCAAAAAAAATTAAGTCACCTTAACTCGGCTAACTTTCCTTTGAACCAGAAAATTTTTTCCTTTTTGACATCAGTGTAAGGAAAGCTTCAAAATGAGTATAATCATGACCCAATTTCCTCAAATTTCACTTTTCGGACCCCTTATGCGCCTTTAAAGTTGAAATTTTAAGTTTAAAGGAGTATAGTCATGATTATACTCATTTTGAAGCTCTTCATGTGGCAAACTCGATTTTCATATTTTCAAAGCCTTAAATTGGTTTTCTAGGCCACCAAATGCAACAATTCGGTCACATTCCAATTTTCAGGGTCTACTCGGTGTCATCGTCTCAGATTCGAGAATAGATCAATTTTTGTGGATTTTGAAGGAAAATTTACCGGTTTTTAACTCATTTTTGTCATAGAAAATGAAAATTTCAATGTAATATGCTTTAAAAATCAATTTATTTAACAAAGTGTTCCTGATGGCCTAGAAACCCAAAAACTAGGTCAAATGGAGCCAGCTGTTCTTGTTTTCATGTTTTGAAAAAAAAAATTTCGGTCGAAAAATTTTTTTTTCCTAAATTGTCCAATTTTACGGACTTTCCTCAATTTTCAAAATTTCGGGACTCCTTTGCGCCTTTAAAGTGAAAAATCAAAGTGGGCGGAGCCTAGTCGTTTTTATGCTCATTTTAAAGCTCTTGGCACGTCAAATTTAGAAATCAATGAATTATGTTAAAATTCTGTAAGTTAAGAAAGTTATGATAAAAACTAAAAATTGGAGAAAATTTTTAAAAATCTTGTTTTCACCATAACTTTCTTGTTTCGCCATATTTTTGCATAAAAACTTGATTTTCCCACTTCCCTACGTAAAGAGCTTTAAAACGAGTGTACTCATGACCTACTTCCCCCAATTTTCAAAACTTCGGACCCCTTATGCGCCTTTAAAGTCAAAAAAGGCAAAAATTTAAAGTAGGCGGAGCCTAGTCGTGTTTATACTCATTTTGAAGCTCTTTTTGTTTTTGAATCGAAAATTTAAACGATTTTAGTGTTTGTATTCAAAAAATCGAAATTTTTAAAAATTTAAAAAAATTTCAAATTCTAATAACCCTCTTAAATTCAAAATTCCCGGAGAAAAATTTCTTCAATTTTTGTGTCTCAAGCCCTTAAACCCTTCTTGTCTGCAAAAAAAACGAAATTTTGAAAAACAAATTGGGCGGCAAAATTGGAAATTTGAATTTTTTCGAAAAAAAAATTTTTTATGCCGAAATTTTTTTTCTAAATTGTCCACTTTTTTGGCCTTGCCCTAAAAATGACCTTGCTCATGTCAATTTTCCCGATAAAATCTAAGCCTGAAGGTCCTCTTTCTGTGTCGACACACAGAGAGAGACGGGTGTCCGTTTCTCTCTGCGTCTCTCGCTCTCTCTCGCTTTTGCACACTCTGTCTCCCTCTCCCCCTGAGTGGGGCTGACTCAAAATATATATTGTTTTGTTTTCCTATTTTTTCCTTATTTTTTCCTCCAATTTTTCGAATTTTAAAAGAAGAAAAAAATTGGTAATTTAAATTTTTCAAAAAAATTCAAATTTCCAATTTTGCCGCCCATTTTTTTTCAAAATTTCGTTTTTTGCAGACAAGAAGGGATTAACAATTAAAAAAAAATTGAAGACTTTTTTCTCCGGGAATGTTGAATTTAAGATGTTTTCGAAAATTGAAATTTTTAAAAAGTTCAAAATTTTGAATTTTTGTTGCAAAACAAAATAATTATTGAAATTTTGTCTTATGGTGTATATATTTGAATTTCCCACAATCAGAGCTTTAAAATGATTATAAACATGACTATGTTCCTTTATGGGGTTATGGGGTTATTCATGTAGCGAAAATATGTATTGAAATGCATTTCCGCGCCCTCGAAATAAACTTTGTGCAGGATTGGGAAAATCTTCAAAGGCGCATACCTTTTTCCAGAAAAAATATCTCGCCACGCGATGTATTGAAATGCATTTACAGTTATGTCGCGAAATGCTTTGAAATACATTTCGCGACGCTCATGCATTGAATTTCGAGGGCGCGGAAATTCATTTCAATACATATTTTCGNTACATGAATNCCCCCATTAAAGGTGGGGGGACAGGAGATTTTTCGTAGTTTTTTTGTAGCTAGAGTATGCATTCTACCGTGACGGTGTACAACGCTTAATGTCACTCTGCGTACAGCTGTCGTCCTCGCCTTTATGTATGCAATCGGGCGTGCGCTTTCTCTTTGCCCGCGTGGCTCAGTCGGTAGCGGCGCCGCACCCTCAATCATCGCCCTCACAAGTTCAACTCCTCGAGGGGCATCTTTGAACGAAATTTCGAGAACATTATTTTTTTCATGTCCCCCCACCTTTAAATTTGAAATTACAACTCAGGTAAATCGGAAAACCTTTCTGAGCTACATTTGAGCAATTCTGGAACCTTTTCAAGCAAAAAGTCCACGATTAAACTTTTCAAACTACCGTAAAATCTGTATTGATATTGCATGCAAGTCTATTGTTCAAGTCACCTCAAGGGGTGCAACTCTATTAGAGGGGCAATTCAAATAGAGGCTGCAATTCTATTTTTCAAACTACGAAAATTTTGAAAAAAAAAGTTTTATTATGAAAATCAACAAAAAAGTAACAAATTGAACACAACAAAAGGAAAATATTCAAAAAATTGAGGCGTCACTGTCATAGTTATTGTCTTCTTCCTCGGCATGGTTCATTTCTCCATCGTCTTCCTCAATTTCAATATCTCCCAAAATCTCCTGAATTTCTTCCATTTCTTGTTCTGCTCGTCTTGTCTTCAATAACTGTACGCCTTCTGGAATTTCTCCATCTTTCTTGAAACAATGAATTGCCTCATCATCTTCGCCATTTCTTCCATTTTTTAATCCGCATCCTTTGAATGATCTTACAATGTATTCCTTCGGGATATTTTCCCACGCCAATTGAATCCATTTCAAATAAACTTCCATACTGGGAGCACGCATATTTCCCGCCGGGGTGAACGATTTCGTTCCATGAACCATCCAATCTTCGTACTCTTTTCTGATGAAAGATTTAAACATTGCGTTCCAATATACATCTGGAGCCTGAAAAATCGGGTCACGCAAAGTTTCAATAAAATCTACTCACTTGTAAGAATTTTGTGCATCCTCCAGGAATCACCGCAGTGTCTAGTCTCAGTTGTTTCAATACTTTTTTAGTGTCTGTACTGATGTGGCAACGGTAAGAGTCCCATACTAACAACTTTTTTCCGAACATTGAGTGACCGAGAACTTTTTCAAGAAAAGTTTTTGTGATTTCATCGTTGAAAAATGTTCTGTCACACCAAACCAACTGCAAAGTTTTTCTAAATGTTTCCTCAATACTTTGCACTGGTCTTTTTCTTGGAAGAAGTACAAAAGGTTTGCACTTAAAACCGTCTGATCGAGCGCACAGCATTACTGTAACATGCAATTTCTCGTGTCCCGTGGTTTTCACTGAAACCTGAAATTGAAACGTTTAGCTTGTTATTTTTGAGTGTGCTGACTTGTTTAGATCCTCGATCCGCTACAGTCAAACTATTCGAACAATCCAGATAAACCGCCGTCTCATCACATGCGAAAATTTTGTCATAATTATTCATGGTAATTAATCGTTCCACATAAAGGAGAAAGTCAATAATTTTCTCCACATAAAACTCTGGCGGTTTTTGACAGACTGTTGTAGCACGTCTACTCGAAAATCCATGCCGCTTCAAAAAAGAAACCAGCCATCCATTCGAGAACTGCAACATTTAATGTTTATCTCAAGTAGGTAATCTGTTTTCAAACCTTCATATCACTATTTGAAATAGACTTGGCGCGATTCTGGATTCCAATACGAGTAATACGAAGCTTTTTTTCTCTTTGCTCTCGGACCCATTCCGCAAGTTTAGTATCAAAATCTTTATCATTCACTTTACGCCCTGCGCCATCAAGCCGTTTTTTCTTTTTTCCATTTTCAGCGATTGTTGCTATTATTTTTTCTTTCTGAGCTCTCCATTGTTGCACATTTTGTCTTGAAACTCCAAATTTCTTAGCTGCTTCCGTGTTATTTTTTGATTCTGCCCATTTCACCACCGTAAGCTTGTAATCCAAGGGGTGGGCTCCACGCTTTCTCTTTCTAGAGTTTCCACCAACTTTTTCACCGTCTTCCACGTCTTCCACGTTTTCCACGTCTTCCACGTTTTCCACGTCTTCCA